ATCATTTCTACCAAAGAAGCTAAAAACTCTTGGGTGGTGGTGGGGGAACAGAGGGCAGGGTTTACCAGATTTTAGTATTTGAAATTTGGGATGTGTCTTAACTGAGCAATTGTTACTATGCTTATGTTTAAACAAAAGGGAAAACGAGAGGAAAATAGAATGACAAAGAAGGGTGTGTCGTCTTGTACACATAATAAGGCCAGTAGGAGCCATTTTTTTTTTTTTTTTCTTTTTTAAACTATCTTTTAAACCCCTCTCTCCAGGGGTCAAAGCTGAAGGTATTGGAAAGAACTGTCTGCCGTCTGCTGGAGCATTCCTGTGATAGAGCCGCACTCCACACTGGCCTGGGGAAAGGCTAGGCCAGGCGGGAGAGAGGTAAGGCTTTTGAAACAAGACAGAAAATCGTTGGCTTTATCTTTGTTAGGAAAGCTTCAAAGATTGATCTCTCCCGCCTCATCCTTCTCCTCCCAGAAGCCGCTGTAAGGGAAAGGGGCGGGGGAGGGAGGGTGAGAGGCGGGCGGGCGGGAGGGGCGGAGGACTGGCCGGCGGTGGGGGAGGAAGAGCGCGCGGGCCAGACCCACAGCGCGGCTGATGTGTCTGGTCTCGCAGGGCTCGTGGTTTTCATTTCCCCAACACCTGGATGCAGTCAAACACCTGGCCAAATCTGAGAAAATCTGACAAGCCTTTGTGATGGGATTTGGAAGAAATTCCCTGCAGATCCTGGCACAGTTTAAAGCTGTCCGCTTTGAGTTAGGACTTGTTAAGGAGGGTTGTGTGAGCTGAAACCCGAGACAACCCTCTTTGCTTCTATCTGGAGCCCACATCTTGCCTGGAAATGGGGCATGACCAAGCGAAGGGGTCGCTTGCCGTTTGTATTAAAAGGGGGAAAGCGGCCTGCGTGCCTGCCAGCCCCCACATGCTTTCTTCATTAAAGCCAAGCACAGAAACTTATCAGAAACACATGTCTGCTGTTAATCATCTGGCCCGGCCTCCACTTGGGAGTCTTAGCTAGCTGTCCCCGGCAGAAGGAATCTGTTGACCTTTTCAGCTTGCTTGAAGAGGGTGCAGAGAGGTAGTTCAAACTCTGTGGTGTGGGTGCTAGGGGATGCTTAGCTGCAAATCCCAAGGAGGGCTCGCAGTCTGGCTTAGCTCGTCTTTACTTTGGGAGGTTGGTGGCTAGCCCAGGGAGTAAGTTCGAGTCGCCCTTATGCTGCCTTCCCGAATGGAACACAAAATAAGGACTGTTTGTCTTTATCAGGAAAGCCCCATCAAATGAATTCTCATAAATTAGGTGTTTCTAGTTCATCGAGTATTGGTGAAAGGTTTGATGGTTCCCGTTCAAACGTTAAAATACACATATAGCCTATTTCTGATTTCCCAAACTACATGAAGGTGAACTTCAGGAGGGCCGTTTTTACACAAATTTTGAAATAATCAGTTCTAAGACATAAAAGCCTTCACTTTTATTATATTTTCTCAAATAAACTTCCCCAAAGGAAGATATTTTAAGAGCATTTTCAAACATCTTTGGCATCACATAAAAAAGAAATCTCGTGTAAAAAACGAAATGTCATCTCAACTTTTATAATACAAAGGCGCAATCCAATATGAACATATAAAATATATACAAACGCAGTGCATGGTCAGTCACTCAATACAGCTCTCTACAAAAAGTAACTTCTTAGAAATTAAAAAAAAAAGCAAAAGGAACCACCGAATTATAAAAGTCTTCTCTCCGAATAGCCAAGTTCGTTTTCAGTGTCCGTCTGGAGAGAGAGGTGGTGTGGGCTATGGGGGTTTAGGATGAGCGGTGGCCTGAGCCCCTCAGTTCCGCCACGGCCTCCACATGGAGTCCGCAGTGAGCGAGGAGCCGCTGGAAGGAGACACCGCGTTAGGACCCACCGAGGTCCCGCTGTTGCTGGTGTAGACCGGGATGACCGGGCCGCTGTGGGCGAAGGCCCCGTTGGGGATGAGGAAGGCAAACTGACCGTCGGGAGCCGGCACCACCTGGAAGCCGCCAAAAACCTTGGCGGCCTCTCCAGCCTGGCTGCCCAGTTTGCAGGGTGCGCTGCCGGGAGGGGGCGCCGCGCCCCCGGGGATGGGCACCAGCGGCGGCGGCGCCGCGAACGGCGCGTGCTGGGGGCCGCCGGGTCCTGACGGGGGCGGCGGCGGCGGCGGCGCCTGCAAGGCGGGGTGCGGCTGCCCGGGGTAGGTCATGGCGTTGATCTGGGTCATGCAGTTGGCCAGGTGGCCCAGCAGCCGGGTGCGCACCTCGGTGTTAACGCCCTCACACGTGGACAGGAAGCGGGTCACCTCGTTCATGCACTCGCTGAAGCCCGCGCGGTACTTCCCCAACACGCTCGGGTCCGTGCTCAGCGCGGCTGCAGGCCAGAGGGAGAAGAGATGGGTCACCCGACAGCCCTGGCCCCGGGGCCACCGCCTCCCGCCCTGGGAGGTCCCCTGCAGCGCGCCTACCGGAACCACCTGGGGTTGGGAGGGCGGGGTAGGCTGACAACAGCCAGCTCCCCTCTGGGTTGGGGACCCAAGCCAGGACACTCCCCTGCGTCCCAACCAGATCTCGGCTCCAGATCTGCCACCCCGGGCCCCCCGCGCGCGCGCGCGACGTGACCTTGGGCAATGCCACCGAGAGCGCCTCCCAGGCCCCGCTGGCCCTCCCGAGGCAGGGAGGCAGGCAGGGTTTGGAGCGGTGCTGAGCCGGTGCCCACCCAGCTCCATCCAGCCCCGGAGCGCCACACGGTCCCGCGTCCTCCCGCCCTCGGCTCCCACCGCAGCCGGGCCGCCCACCGCCCTCTCGGCTACAGGCTCTCCCTCCCTTTTCCGGAGCACTAACAACTTAGGAGTTGTGGCTATAAATAAGACCCAGACCGTGGGAACGCGGAGCGAGCCAAGGCAGTAAAATGGGAGCTGAATGCCTCTCACAGCCGCGGGCGGAAGTCTGGGAGAAATCACCGCGGCCCCGAGAGGGACACCCGCGGAGAGGGCACGCACGCGCGGTCCTCACCCGTCATCTGCGCCCGCTGCAGGTTCCGGAGGTGCTTCACTGTCATTTCCAGAATGTCTGCCTTCTCCAGCTTGGAATGCCGGGAGCTCTGTGCAGGGGGAACAAGGGAAGAGAGTGAGACCCCCTCGTCAGCTGCCTCCTAGTTCTGAAGGTCTCTAACCCCGCCCGCGGGTCCCACACCCCAGGGCCCTGCTCTAGGGGGCCCGGACCGCCCTCCCGCCTAGGGGGACGCAGTGCTGGCGGGGAGAAGGTCTCCCAAGCACACAGCAGGCGAAGAGTTTTTAGTCCTTTGTGCCTGAGAAATAGCATTCCATTCGGATTTTTTTTTTTAATCCCACTGCTCACTTACATCTTTCTTAAGTGCATCCAAAATCAGTGTTTTCAGCTGGCTCAGACTTTCATTTATTCTTGCTCTTCGCCTCTTCTCCATGATAGGCTTTGATGACTGCAAAGGGGAAAAAAGGGGGGGGGGCTGAGTTTCCACGAGATCTGCCATCTCACCCCAAGCTTTTAAGAGAGAAAAGCAAACGGTGCCCCCTCTGCGCACAACCCACTTCATTTTCTGAGGGGCGTCAGAGAACAGGTACTGTCTTACCTTTCTGTGTTCAGAGGCCGTCTTTGGTTTGTCCGGTGTCGCGTTGACACTGGCTGGGGTAGCAGCCACCGGGGAGGAGGAATTTTTCTCCATTATATCAGCTGGCATTTTCTTTTTTTTTTTTTTCTTTTTTTTTTTTTCTTCTTCTCAATCCCCAGAGAATTTTATTTTTGGATTCCTTCACGCAAAAAAAAATAATAATATTTTTTTTTTTCGCTTATGTCCCTTTTACTTGACTTTCGTAAGAAAAACCACTGAGCAGCTGAGGGTTTGTTATGTCTTAGGGCTACTTAGGGATCGGTAGCGCTATTCCAGGACCAAGGAGAGAGGTAGACGGGGGATTCCGCTGTTATCAGCACCGGCTCCGGATCCTGTGTGATCCGCAGGCCCTGGCGGCCTCTATATATATCCGGGACTGCACGCGAACGGCTCGTGTGAAACTTCCCAAACTTTCTTTCCCACAGTAACTTTCAGCCAATGGGAGGAAGGGACACGCGGCACCGCTCGTGGACTGCGCCCCCCCATTGGCCGCCAGGCACAAGGTCTGGCGGCCAATGGCGCGCGCCTGAGCCCGGGGCACCGGAGGCTACAACGTCAATCAAAAGGATTTTAACCCCTTGCTCACTCTCTCCTTTGGGCTCTGCTTTAGAGGGAGGGTTTTTTGGTTTTGGTCTAGTCTATTTCTTTTGTGGCCACGTCTTTGGTCCTTATGATCCTTGCCACTTGCAATATAGCTACTTTGTATAACAAGTTCGTTTGAAAATATTTTGAAAAGATAAGAGGCCAAGACGAAATTTAGTGATTAAAAAAAAAAGGAGAGAGCTCGTGTTACTCTAACGCCTTCGTGATTTCCCGCTCGAGTTCTGTACGTTTAGGGGAGTGAAAACTGCTCCTGCGGGGTCCCGGAGGGGAAGCATACCAACCCCCTAAAACTAATCACTCCCCTACTCCCCTCCCCCCTCCAAAAAGAAATGCCTTCACTGGCCGGTTTTTTTATTTTTATTTTTTTTCGGCGCAAGGTAGCTTTGGATGCCTGTCTCCCCCTCCAGCCCGTTCCTCATTCCTCTCCTGGGAATGGGGTCTTGGACCTCACGCTTCTCCAGGAAACAATCAGAATGATTTCCTACTGGGCAGAAAGGAAATGGAATTTCAAATGGGAAAAAAAAAAAAATGAACAAGGGGGAGCTTTGACAGCCACGCCACACAAGGGTCGCGCGCGCCCCTCCACCCCCCTGTAGGCTCTCGGCTGGCGGCACCGGGAGGCGGCGGAGGGGCGGGAGGCGGCCTCTTCCCCTCCCCAACCCCGCGGGCGGCCAGGGCGGCCCCCGCGGCCGGCGCGCGAGCCCTTTAAGAGCCGCACCAGCCGAGCCGCAGTTTGACATCAGCCGGCCGGCGAGGGCGCGCCTGGAGTCGGAGCACGTGCCAGGATGTTTTATTGCCGCCGCGGCTGCGGCCGGGCCCAGAGGATGTGTGTGTGCGAGTGTGCGTGTGTGCATGTGTGTGTGTGTGTGTGCGCGCGCGCGCACGCGCGCGCCCCGGGGGCAGGGAGGCGGGGGCCGGCGGCGGGCGGCGGGGAGCGGGGGCCGCCGCCTCTGGTCCCCGGGAGAAGCCAAGAAGGTAAATAGCAGCTGCTGTGCTCGAGCCTGGGAAAACCCCGCCCCCTGCGCCCGGCCCGGCCTCATTGGCGCGCGCTGCGTGTGGGGTGTGGGGTGTGTGTGTGTGTGTCCGGGGTCCCCTCCTCCCCGCCCGGGCGAGCCAGGATTCCGTGGGGAGGGGGGGTGACGAGCCAGGAGCTGCCCCCTCCCCCAGCACTGGCCTTCCCCTCCCCAGCCCCCCACCCCGGCCAAGGTCAGCCCTTCCCGGGCTGGGAGCGCACGCCCAAGGGTGGCGAGCTGGGGATTCGTGTGTCCCTCCCCCTACCCCGTCCCCCAAACCCTCCCGGACTCCGATCTCGGGGATTTGAACGCGGCCGAAACCATCCCCGGCGGCGGTGGGGGGTGGGGGGAGTGGGGGTGGAGGACGGGGGAGGCGGGCGTCCGCCGCGGTCACGAGATGCCTGACCGCACTTAGGAAGCGGCCGGGTCAGCCTCCTGCCTCCGCTCGGCGGCCTGCGGTTACGGCGGCTTTCTCCACTCCACTTCCCCCCTACCCCCCCCCCCCCCCGCCTCCAACTCCCCCGGTCCCTCGCTGCGTCCGGGAGGACGCCCCGGGCGGGCGGGAGGGAGGACGGACGGCGGGGATGGAGCCGGACGGCTGCGTGCTGCCGGCTGGCCGGGGCCGCGCGCCCGGGAGGAGCCGCCGCCGCCGGGTGCCACGTGGCGGGCGCCG